CACACACACACACACACACACACACACACACACACACACACACACCAGAAATAGTCATGCAGTATCTGTTTTTCTCTGTCTCCATCTCTGCTCTGCTAAATAATTTAATCACTTAAGAGCAAAAGCCAACCATGCAGTCCCAGTCTCTACCATGAAGGGTAAATTATAGCCCTGTAGGTAGAGAACAGCCATTACTGTATGGTCTATGAAGACATATTATAGAGCCATATTTTGTTGAGACCTTGTCATTGTCAAAGCACTAAATATGCCAGAGGTGGAATGACGTATTACTACTACTTTGAAGTGGATATAGTCTAACGTTGCTATGGGTTTTTAAAGGCCGATGCTGTTGTTGTTGGATGTGCCTGGCTGAAAAATGTGGCAGAAGGAAGGGCATGTTTGCTTTGAGGTTATACAGTATGTATGAGTTCTCCAGTCAGAGAGAGGGCGGGGAGAGACGAGACAATGGAAGGTGAGAACACAAACGTGAAACCAATGCAAACATCTGTACACAAGGTTACAGTTACACAAACATGTAACATATGTTTAAGCCTATTAACTCTTTTCCACCAGCATGGTGCGGGTGTAAAGCCAGTTCTGCCTCACTTCTTTTTAAGAACCAGCCCACATTTTCACTGGTTTGAGAACCAAAATGATGTCTAGAACTTAGTAGCAGAAGTTGAAGTCATTTCTATGGGAAGAAAATGTGAATCTGTGGGATCCATATGTTTATCATTCTTGAAATTCTTTTGGTAGCTCTTCCCACATTCACTACCTTTCGGGGCACTGAAGGACACCTTACAAGCAATTGAATACCAAAATCACAGTATGCATAAAATAAGTCAATAAAGTATAGAATAAAAAAAAAAACAGCATCAAACAGAATAGGCAAGCTTAAAAAGATGTCTTTTAAGACTGACTTTAAAGACGGAGAAGAAATCAATATTGTAAATGTGATGCGGGGGAGAGATCCAAAGACAAGTGGCCAATCAGCTGGAAGCGCTAAAGCCTATGATGGCAAGCGGGTAGTATAATGAGAGTAAGATAAGAGGAGGATCTCAGAGTATGGAAAGGAGTGGCAATGTGCAGAAGATCAAAGAGATATGAAGGTGTGAGAGTACGGAAAGACTTAACGAGTAATATGTTCTAGGGAATGGCTTCTAGTAACATTATGAGCAGCTACATTTTGAAACAGCTGAAGCCTATTGAGAAGTTTGTGTGGTAAGCCAGAGAGGATAGAATTACAATAATCGTTATGAGTGTAGCCAGAGCATGTACAAGAATAGCAGTACAGTTAGCTGTAAGAAACGGCGTAGCCAACTGATTTTACGTGACTGGAAAAATGCAGACTGAGTGATATTATTGATGTGTCAAAATTTAAGGTGCTAGAAAACAACACCTAAACTCCTAACCTGAGAAGAAGGAGAGATTGAAGAATTGTAAATACACAGAGAGAATTTACGTATTTATCCCAAACATTTTTAGTACGTAACCTAACCTAACGGGAGAGTGGAATTAGGCTTAGTGGGCGGGTAGAGCTGTGTGTCATCAGCATAAGTGCACGACAAACATCCTAAACATGTGACCTCGGGTGAATGGTAAGTAAAAAAAAAGGGAACACTGTGACAGAGGCTTAGGGAACCTCACTGACAACTGGACAAGCTTGTAATCTATAGTATAAATATTTGCACCAATGTGAAATTTATTCTAGTTTAAATGCATGGAACCAGTTAACTATTGGACACCAGTACTGGCACTGCATCTGTGTATACACGTCGCTCAGAGTGAGGAATTTGCAGAGTTCTCATCTGACTCTGCAGCTCCTCTTTAATTTTTTGTATTTTAGTTTCTTTTAGCTGGTTTAATTCAGCATAATAAGTCTAAAAACTTCTAACAGGCTCACAAAAAAAGCACAGGTTTATTGATTAACTAGCTACAGCCCTGTCTCCTTGATGCCTTCCTATGCATCAAAAACGGCAGTAGATTTTAAAATGAAATGTAAATACAAGCAGATTAAGGTTCCCTTCAACAAGTCAGGAAACATGAATAAATGTGTGGCTTCGTATTGTCTCAACACCAATATCTTAACATGTTATGGCCAATGATTACGTAGCACCTAAATGTTATTGACATATTTTAGTTGCATATACAGGAAAGTTCTAGCAAACAGGGTCACTGTTGAGTAAAGTGGAGCTTTCATCATTTAAACAAAGACCTGAATCATATTATAAAGCCAAGGGAAGCTTGAGCTTATAATAATAACTGGTTTTTAGAACAAATGTTTGCTGTAGCAACTAAAAGCCAATAAAATCCATACCCACTATTATGTTGCCAGAGGTAAACCTATTAAAGAGACAGAATGGAAAGACACATGATCAGTGTCAGGTGTTCTGTTCTCAGTCTGGGAAGCATTTACCTGCAGGTCTATTTGAGGTGTATGTCCAATTAGACCTGATAGAAGCCCTAAAAAACTGGGAGGAAAGAGATGTCTTGATATTTAACTTCATTAAAGGAGACATGACCAAAAAAGTGCATTAGGAGTGGAGTGTAATTCACCATTTTCCAGCTGAGAGTTGGAGTGATGTCAGGAGTAAAAAAAGAAAGAAAAATAAATTGATCAAAAACCTTTTTGAAGCTGGATTTGGGATGAAAAGAACTACACATTCAGACTCTCTCAGACTTACAGTTGTAATGGCAACTAGGCTTTCAATCCTCCCTGGCACAGCTAATGATGCTTTATATATACATATATAAGACATTCTTGCAGGTTAAGCTACTTTCCTTTTTTTTTTTTTTTTTTTTTTGGGTTAACAAGCACTGAAAATAAAGTTCATACCACATCAGAGATTTTCTAAAGCATCTTTTTTCAAAGGATTATTCCAGTGTCGCTAGGTGTAACTCACACTGTTCCACTCCAGGTAATTCCTTTTGCTGTTGTAGCTAAGCTGCCATCGAGCACCTTCTGGCCACAGTGAATGACAGAAATTCCATGTTATATGTTGGTAGGGACAAATATTAAATGGGACATTGGTATTGCTTTGTTTATATCTGCTATACCTCTCCTACTCATTGCTGCAGTTCATAACACAATAAATTCAATCTACATGCAACACTCTGTCAATGCTAAACATCAGGGTGGAAGTATGCATGCACAGATCACACAGTTATTAATAACCTAACAGTGGAGCTGCTCTACTTGAGGACACATCAACACGTGGATTTTTATTTTTTAAATACTGGCATCAATTTGGTGGAAGCTTTAATTTTCACCAGCGTTCACTTCAACTCCATTCTGCGCTCCTCTGAGTTCAAGGACACACTCATTATTGAACACCTTTTTGTACAGGGAGGTTTGCTAACGTTTCTTCCTCTACATGCAGCTTTCGTCAAGACTGCTTAAGCTTGCATGAAGAGAGGAGGTGTCGTAGCTTTTCAACTCACTCCGTGGAATATATTCTTAAGAACGCTGTCAGGCTGTATGTACTGCATTCACACCTCACTGGGGTCCCATCACTATGTGAGCCAGGCCGCCTCGAAGCATCGTTTTATCTGATCACCTTGCAAGCACAATTCCTCTCGTGCACATTTCCATATGCGCTGACACATGCTTTTCTTTCTATCTGAAGCCACTAAATAGATTTCAGCACTTTAATTTGATTACTTTTCGTACTGTGACATGTCAAAATGTCTGCTGGTTGTTTACACTGTTTACACTACTTGTTGTGTTTCTGTCACCCCAGCTGTTGTTGTTGTTTCACATAAAACATAAAGGTATTAAAGTGGTGCTTACATGCTTCCTCAAATTTTGACAAGAAGGTAAATATGAGCATATTTATAGAACTATTTTTTTTTAACTGCCCATAAATGCAAAGGGCTCTGACAGCCTAATCATTTTCAAATAAGATCCATTGAATTCTAAGGCTACACCCACTGTGGAAAATATACTTATACACAACAGAAAATGCACAAAGCTATATGACAGGGGTGGAAAGTAGGACAAAGCCATGCTTACCTCTTCTGTTGCCATTTGTTCACTAGTCACAGGCTAGACCACCCCAGTCTTAGCATATCTGATCTTCATGTTGATCCCAACTAAAGTTTTATGACTGTACCTGCCATGTTTGTAGTGGAATTTCTGCACGCGGACATGCATAAACATCTGGCTAAATACTCAAAAACCTCTTTGTGATAGTTCAATTACAGTAGGCTTTAAAAAAAATACTACTCTGTTGCTGCTGTTAAAAAGCTTGTTTTCTGCTTCTTCACATTCACATAAAAACAAGTTTTAACAGATTATGTAAAACGGGAACAAGGAAATATGTTGAAGATGACGTTGCCAGACGTCTAGACAATGTTGAGGCTTGTTTAAAAACTGAATGATGATAAGCTGTCTTAGGTTGTTGAAAGGTTTTCTAGAAGAATCCCTGAATCCCTGTAGCATGAATACCGTACTTTCATAACTCACTCATTAGAAGTGGTGGTGGTTGGGTGCTTACTGTAGAGGGCACAGAGAAGAAGAAAACACTGAGGCAGAGTACTGCATAGAGATGATGTGGTTTCCCAGAAAGCCATTACCCTAATAGTGGTCTGCTTTGCCCCCGTGGTACTCACTTCACAATTTGCCACAGTGGAGATGTTTCTAAATCATTGTACCCCCCTGATTTGTTCAGCCGCTATGAGGCAGAGATGCCGCGATGTACCACTGGTGGGATAGCTTCATTTCCTCCTAAAACAAATACAAGAAAAGTCATCAAAGTCTTAAAGGGAGAACAGTGTGAAAATAATTGCACCATCAGACTTGCAGGGCCCCTCTTGTACTACAAAACTCTCCAGGCATGTGAAAGGGAGGGTGAAGAAAACACACTGACGTTCCCCCTCACCCTGTATAAAGGTCATTACCCATCCCCCACTCTTCTTGTTATAGCCACACTAAAGCTCACACTACACAGCACCCCAGGGCTTTCTGTCTGTGTGTCTCTTTGTCTCAGCTGAGCCTTATCTGCGTGTGTGTGTGCATGCTGATGAGCATATGCTTTAGGGTAATACATACATGAGTTGCTGTCTGTTTTTCACAGTTTATGTCTGCAGAATACACATCAGTTTGCGTCTGCTCATGCCTCTCCTTATAGGATGAATTTACATGAGAAAGCCACCACCACACACTTCTCTGTCACCTCATGAATGCTACTGTGAACACATGTGGTCACATAACCCCGTTCACCTCAGTACGTCTATGTATTATCCTGAATGATACTTGATGTTGCGTTAAAAATAATGGGGTGAAATTAATAAATGTTACCAGCTGTATTTGTTATCATGTGGGCTGCTTGTTGTGTGATTTATTCAGTTTTCTTCTTTCATCACAAAATCATTATATAGGAAGTAAATGACACACATTTTTTAAATTACCTGTTAAATTAATTTACTTTGTGGTTTATGTGGGAAGTTATTTTCAACTGCAGGGTTTTAATATTGTGTGCAATCCCACGACTGGCCACTAGGATATATTAGCTAAATTCTTAAGTGTCAAAAATTCCACTTCCTGGAATGGCCACTAGAGACCAGAACTGTAGAGACTAGTTTTGGTCTTCCTGTAAAACATCTACAGTGGTGCAAATAAAACAAAAATATCTATTTAAATTGTGTTAGGGCTAAAAAAATTTTTTTTTCCAAATGATGCATGTGTATTTGGTGCACTTTCTTGTAGTGTTTCTGCCCAGATCTGTTCACACCGTAACAAATAAATTTCCAAGCATGCAAAAGACTGAATGTCGCCTTGTGCTTATTTACATAAAATTTACATCACTCAGATCTAAGCTAACCTTCGCATGGTCATGGACTTGTACATTTTGGTATGCACCAGGGAGTTGATTGTTCATTCACAGCGCCACATTCCTGCACACTCTAGTTCTGTTCTTGTGAGCTATAAATATGTGCATGGTGATATTGGTTATATTTACGTTGCCTATCATCAACCGACTCCGATAGCCCTGCTTTTACTAATAATTAAGATAGTTAGCATGTGGTGTGCGAGCCAGCATTGGAAGGCTTAGTTCCAAACAACAAAAGTATATTTTGTTCCTAAAATGTTGCCTGAAAAATTTAATTGTTATCGCATAAAAGAATCTTACTTTTTTTTTTTACATCGCTTTTTTTTTCATAGTTCCATAAATAACTAAAAATGTGAGCTACAGTATATTTTTCATGTGCATAACAGCATGCCTACAGCTACACTCCAAAAATAGCTACGTAGTAATGACAGTCTACTACTGAGCAACATAAAAGGATAATTAATTTTAACCTAATATTTCTGAGTTGTTTTTGAGGAGTTACCGCTTACCCCCAGCCTAACTACACCATCCTTCTCCATACTGCGACACCCATTTTGATGTTTATGTGACTGGAGTGTGCTTCCTGCAGAGAGAGGAGCTCAGGCCTAGCTCATTTTCGCCTGGCGGGTCAGATGCTCTGTGTTTCAGTCTGAAGCCGTTGGCTGCTACTGAACCGTTTGGCTCTTTTCTCTACTAGCGAGCAAACCTACAATCTAGACCCAACTGTACATCCAGCTCATTTTTAAGGGGATTTATCACTATATATGCCCGCGTTTCCAAAACACATCGGTCATTGGGGATTCCTAGCCCCGCTTGGCCGGGTCTGAAGGCAGTTATAACGCTTTTTTCGAGGTGTAATTAGAGCTAGAAAACAACGGTGGTGGAGGAGATTCCATATTAGGAGCACAGAGGAGAAGGCACCCCCCTTGTGTGATTTGGAGCTTTTGGTGAGTGTTTACCGTCTTTCCGCTTGATTATTGCCGTTATAAATGATAACCTCGCGTAGATCGATCACGCGTGGCTGTGAACGCGAGGTTTCGCCGGGTTATTGCGCTGTTTCGGACGTTTATTTTTATAATTTTTCTCGAGTGTGGGGGATGGGCAGCCTCAGCGCGTGAGTAGGCGCGCGCGTGTCGTGTGCATGTGTTCGAAAGCAGTTCTCGCGCGTGGTTTGTGTTTGTGAGCGCGCCCTTCCTTCCTGCAACTCCTACTAGCTTTTGAATTAAAACCAGTGTAATATATTTTTTGTATTATTTAAACCCAAGTCATTAGAATATACATTTCTAAGATAATTTATATTGGATTCAACCCAGAATAAATTAGATTGAATATGACATCAAACTTTTTACTTTGTCACTTAAGTTTTATTATTGTGAAGTAACTATTTTCGCCAGTTATGGTTTAATTTATTCTGTTATCTCTTACTTAACTTGGACAATTTGTGTGTTTCAATGCACTTTGTACTTGTTAAATAAGGCAGTGTGTCTATAAAACTATGAAGGGTTATGAATCAAAACTGAAACTGTTTGAGCCCAGTTAGTAGTTGTGCCAGTCTGTTGTGTTGTGCTTTACAGGCTCTTGTTTATTTTTTGTCTGTAGCATACCTTGGATTCATAATTGTGACAAAGTTCAGGTCATAGTATTTCATCGTGTTATTTACTTTGTTACCTTTGTGCCACTTTGATTGAAAGCTTACTACAGAGCTGTGGAGCTGGTTGTTCCAAAGCCATGGACGATATGGGGGAGGGTCGAATACACACACACACACACACACACACACACACACACACACACACACACAC